AAAAGGGAGCTGGTGAAGGTTGGCACCTGGCTGGGGGGGTCTGCTGGGGCTCATGGGGAGGGGGCAGGAGACAGAACTGCAAAGAAGAGAAAGGGGAGGTGATAAGGGAGAAGGAAAGAGGCAGAATGATGACGTGAGAGGGAGAGGGAGAGAGAGAAAAAGTCAGAGAAAGGCAGATGGAGAGGCAGAGAAACTGTTCATGTGAGAACACAGAGAAAGAAAGAGAACCAGGGAGAGGCAGAAAGCAGGGGGAGAGAAGGAAAGATAAATATGAGACCAGGAGAGACAGGAGGAGGAGAGAGAGAGAGCTGGTGAGAGGACCAGCGGTCAATCTGAGAGGCCTGCCACAAACAGAAAGAGGCACGATGAGAAATGGTGCGGCCAGCCTGGAACACATTGGCATTTTCTTGTCAAGTTAAGCATACTCTCATCATCTGACCCAGAACTTCCTCTCATGGCATTTATCCTAGAGAAATGAAAACTTCTAGTCACACTAAAACCTGTAGGTGAATGTCTATACTGGCTTTATTCATTATTGCCAAAAACTGAAAACAACCCAAAACAACAGCAGGTGAATGGATCAACAAACATGGTACAGAGTGGAGGTCAAGGTTCGATTCCTGGTCAGGGCACATGCCCAGGTTGCAGGCTCCATCCCCAGTGCGGGGTGTGCAGGAGGCAGCCCATCATTGATTCTCTCTCATCATTGATGTTTCTATCTCTCTCTCCCTTTCCCTTCTGCTCTGAAATCAATAAAAATATATTAAAAACAGCCCTAGTCGGTTTGGCTCAGTGGACAGAGCGTCAGCCTGTGAACTGAAGGGTCCCAGGTTTGATTTCGGTCAAGGGCACATGCCTGGGTTGTGGGCTTGATCCCCAGTGGGGGACTAGCAGAAGGCAGCCAATCCATAATTCTCTCTCATCATGGATGTTTCTATCTCTCCCTCTTCCTTCCTCTCTGAAATCAATAAAAATATATTTAAAAAACAAACAAATATGGTACGCCCAGACAATGGGACCCCCTTCAGTGATAAAAAGCAACAAACTGTGTATATAATATATATTATATATCATATATTTTTTCAAAGAAAGGAACTATTTTTAACTTTATTTTTATTGTTGACACTATTACAGATGTCCCCATTCCCCTCCCCCATTGCCCACCTCTACCCAGCCCCCAGCCCCCACTGTTACCTGTGTCTCTGGGTTACGCATTTGTTCTTTGGCTAATCCCTTCACCTTCTTTCATCCAGTCCCCCCCTCCTAGAACAAACTCTTGATACATGGGCATGGGACAATCTGGGGGAATCTCATATACATCATGCTGAGTGGAAGAAGCCAGGCTCAGAAGGTCCCATACTGTATGATTCCCTTTACAGGACTTTCTGGAAAAGGCGGTGGTTGCCAGGGACTGGAGTCGACGACAAAGGGGCGTAAAGAAATTGTGGGAAGTGATGGAGATGTTCTGTATCCCGACTGTGGTGGTGGCTAGATGAGATTTGTCAAAACTCAAAACACTAAAAAGGGTGCATTTTACTGTATGTAAATTTTACCTCAATAAACTTTTTTTTTAAAAGAAACCTGGCGAGTGTGGCTCAGTGGTTGAGTGTCGACCCGTGAACCAGGTCACAGTTCGATTCCCGGTCAGGCACATGCCCAGGTTGCGTGCAGGAGGCAACTGATTGATGACTCTCTCTCATCATTGATGTTTCTGTTTCTCTCTCCCTCTCCTTCCTCTCTGAAATCAATAAAAAGATACTTAAAAAAAAAAAAAGAAACAAGGACAGAAGCAAAGGAGAGACTGGGAATGAGGAGGAAGAGGGAGAGGAAAGTCGTGAGCCCAGGGAAGGGGGCTTTGAGTTGGAGGGGAGTCTGCGAGGTCGGTGAGGACCCCATGCTTTGCCAGGGCCCCTGGCCAGCTGCCAGCTGCCAGCTCACAGGGCCAGTGCCCCACCCCCAGGAACCTCCCCCACTTTCAATCTGGGAGCTGTTTCTACTTGTAGGAGAATGTGGTCTCTGGACATCCCTGGAAACCGAGGCTCCAGGCCCCGCTACAGCCCTGCCTCAGCTCCCGTTACCAGGAAACTGGGGGGAAGGCATTTCCTGCCTGGAGGTCTTGGCAGCTCCCACTGCCATGGAGACCAGCGTGGAAGCTGGGAGGGCCTCCGTCTCCTCCCACTGCTCTGCCCCAGCCAGCGGGAGGAAGAGGAGGCCAAGGACCTGGACAACTGCAGGAGCCCAGCCCCAAGAATGGCCAAGTAGGGGCCTCAGCCTGGGCCCACCTCCCCATCACCCACGGATCCACCCCCACACACTACACCTCCCAGCAGGGCCTGAACCCTGAATAGATCTCAGCCCCAGGCCCTTCCTTAGCTGGAAGTCGGAGTACAAAGCCCCCACATCAGCCATGTTTATCACGGTGATGTTTGGAGGTAAGTGGGGTCCCCTGTCCCTGCAGATGGGTCAGGGAATGGTACACTCAGCTTGCTTCCCTCTGCCCTGGGGATGGGGGAGGCATTGTGGGGAAGGGGATGGGGGGCTTGGGGAAGAAGCTCTGTGAGGAAGCAAAGCTAGTGCCTGGAGTGAGTGCCTGGAGGGGAAAACCCTGGCTGGGTACCTGGAAACTCACACCGCCCCTCTCCTAGAACACCTGCCCGGCTACCGCGGAGGATGTTTTTAAACTGATGATTCCTTGGCTACTGATTCAGTCAGCGGTCCTCTAGATCAGGGTGCATCAGGCACCCGAAGCTCCAGCCACAGTTGCAGATTCCCAGCTCTCTGGTGGGAGGGAGTCCGTGGTGGGAGGGAGGCTGGTGCAGGCGGCTGTTTGGTGCAGGAGGCATGAGCTGTGCACCCATCACTGACATCTCCGGAGATGGGGGGGTGGGGTACAGTCCTGGTCCCTGCCCTGGTTAAGAAATGGGAGAACCACTATGCTGTACCCCTGAAACTAACCCAAAATAATATTGAATGTAAACTATAATTGAAAAAAGAAAAAAAGTTACTGCTTAGTGGGCATGTTGTTTCTATTGGGGGTGAAAATATTTTAGAAATAGCTATGCCCTGGCTGGCGTGGCTCAGGTGGTTGGAGCGTTGTCCCATGCACCAAATGATTGACAGTTCGATTCCCAGTCAGGGCACACACCTAGGCTTTGTTTGGGTTTGATCTCCAGTCAGAGCGCAGGCGGGAGGCAGCCCATCAATGTTTCTCTCGTATATCGATGTTTCTCTTTCTTTCTCTCTCTCCTTTCCCCTCTCTCTAAAATCAATAAGACATATTCTTAGGTGAGGTTTAAAAACACACACACACAACAGCAGTGATGGTCGTACAACTCTAGGAATGTACTAAATGCCACTGAATCGTAATTTGGTTAAAATGGTGGATTTAATATTATGTAAATTTTATCTCAATAAAACAAATCACTTAAAAAAGAGAGAGAAATGGGAGAGGCAGAGGGTCCGAGTGGGGGAAAGTAGAGGGCCCCGTTCCCTCACCTCTGCCCCTCCCCCACAGCTGGCTGCCGGGAGCTGGTGAACCCGTGGTGCCGCCTGGTGACCCTCACTGCCCACCTACGGCAGAGGGGGCGGGTGCCTCCAGATGGTGAGGGGCCAGGAGGGGGTGATGAGGTGGGGGCCCAGGGCTGCAGAC